CATCTCATTATAAATCTCGCGATATCAGCAAGAAATGATCCTCCACACCCGGGGGGGGGGGAAACTCCCTCTGAAAAATTAATCTAATTATATTCCTCAACGCATTTTTTCAGGATTTTTTTTCCTTCTCGAATCCCTTTTTTTCTCTTCTATTTTTTTTTCTTTTTCTTTTTTTTGAGGGTAGGGTAAGGTGGGGGGTGGGGGTAGGGTAGGGGGTGGGGGAGGGGTGGGAGAGTGACAAGAGTGTGACGTCATGAGTGAGAGAGATAATAAGCTTGCGGGACGTATGTCAGTTAATGGGGAGTGACGAGATAATGGGAGAGAGAGAGAGAGAGAGAGTGATAGGAGTGGAGAATGATAGGAGAGAGATAGGAGAGTAAAGAAAAAAATGGAGTTAGGGGAGAAAGATAGGAGAAAAAAAATATTGGAGGTAGAGAATTTAGAGAAAGAGAGGATTGAGGGAGTGGAGGTGATAGGAGGTAGAAGAGAAAAAAAGACGAGAGAGGGGTAAAGAAGGAGAGAGAAAGACACAGAGAGAGACAGTGTGTGTGTGTGTGTGTGTGTGTGTGTGTGTGTGTGTGTGTGTGTGTGTGTGTGTGAGAAGAAAGAGAGAGAGAGAGAGAGAGAGAGAGAGGGTAAAGAAAGTAAAAACAAACTAATGACGGTGAACAGAAGTAGCAGAACAATAATGATAACAATAACAATAATGAACAAAATTCCTACTATTACTGCAACTAGCATTGGCGATGATGATACCTAAAGACAAATTAAAAATGGATTGTAGGTTCATAAAGTTTAGTAATAAGACAAGCAATTAACACTCAACTGCCCGTATCTCCACCAACATCTTTCCCTTCTCCTCTTCCTCCTTCTTACTCAACCTCTACTCCCTCCTCTTGCCTTCTTTCTTTCTTTACTTTCCACTCCCCTTTCTCTTCTTTCTCCTTCTCCCTCTTCTCCTCCTCCTTTTCTTTTTTCTCCTCTCTTTTCCTCCTCCTTTCCTTCTCCTCTTCTTCTACCTCCCCTCTTTTTCCTTATCCTCCTCCTCCTCCTCCTGCCTCCCTTCCCTACATCCTTTTCCTTCCCCCCCATCCTGTTCCATCTCTTCCCCTCTCCCTTTCCCCTCCTTCTACCTCCCTCGACCCCCCTCCCCCCCTCCCCTTTTCTACCTCCCCTCCCCCTCCTCCCCCCTCTCCCTCCTCCTCTCCCCCCCCTCCTCCCCTCCCTCCCCCTACCTTTACCCCTCCCCTGAAGTGCCAATTTCCATCCATCAGCTCGATTATCGGAAAGTTTTCGTTTGTGAGTGTTACATATTCTGATTCACTGAGGTCAGAGGGCTTGCTGAACTCAATGAACACACTCTCCTGTTCTTCCGTTGACGCTGAACGGGTCATTTTGGAAGACAGTGTGATCTTCACCCCCTCTTCTCCCCTCCCCTCCCCTCCCCTACCCACCAGGTCGATATTACCACATGCATCGTGGTACATCCCCCTTCTCCTCCCTCCCCCTCTCAACCTTCCCCTCTTCTCCTTTCTTTCCTCATCCCCCTCATCCTCTCTTCCCTAATCTCCCTCATCCTTTCTTCTATAACTTCCTTCCCCCCCCCTCTTCCTCCCTTATCCGCCTCACACTCTCTTCCCTTCCTCTCTTCTACACTTCTTTCCTTGCTCTCCTCATGTCCTTTCCATCCCTTGCCATCCCAACTTCCCTGCTTCAATTTCTCCCTTCATTCCCTCCCACCTCTACCCGTCTGCCCAATACTTTGAAAAAAATATATATATATTTATAATATAATTATTTCACACACACACGCACACCACACACACACAACACACACACACACACACACACACACACACACACACCACACAACACACACACACACACACACACACACATATATATATATATATATAATATATATATATATATATATATATATATATATATATATAGAGAGAGAGAGAGAGAGAGAGAGAGAGAGAGAGAGAGAAGAGAGAGAGAGAGAGAGAGAGAGAGAGAGAGAGCAGAGACAGAGACAGACAGACAGACAGAAATCCAGACAAAGCCAGACCAACAACAGAGAAAAGAGCAAGAGCGAAAGAAGAAAAATCCCCCCTCATTCTATAAGGAAAAAGAACATTCCAAATTACAGCAAAGCGTAAAGCCCCGCCCCCCCACCCCCACCCCACAAAACGGGGTTAAAAATCTTCCTTTCTAACAACTAGGAAACATACAAGTTTTCCATTACCAAACTACCTAGTCCTAATTTATAGTGGGCATAAAGGCCAGAGCGAATGACACAAGTAAATTCCAAATTGCTTTCGTGGGCCATAAAAGTCAGGGTGGGTTACATTTAGAAGGGAGAGGAAACAAACACCAATAATGGCATTGGAATGGTCCGGGAGAGGCGAGAGGAGAAAGAGGGAATGAGGTTAGGAGAAGAATGATAGGAATTATATAAAAAGGGGGAAGGGGAAATGAGAACGCGCAAGAGGAGAGGAGGAGTTGGTGTTTTAGAAAAGAGAGAAGAGAGAGAGAGAGAGAGAGAAGAGGAGGAAGAGAGGGGGAAGGAAAGAGGAGGGAAAAAGGGATAGATAGATAAGTAGACAGATTAGATAGATAGATAGATTAGAGAGAGAGAGAGAGAGAGAGAGAGAGAGAGAGAGAGAGAGAGAGAGAGAGAGAGAGAGAGAGAGAGAGGAGAGAGAGAGAGAGGAGGGGGAGGAGGGGGAGAGAGGGGAAAGTGAGTGGAAAAGAGAGGGAGAGGAATGAATGGAAGAAGAGAGAGAAAGAAAGATCATGAAAGGAAAGAAGAGAGAAAGAGAGGGGAGAGAGAGAGAGAGAGAGAAGAGAGAGAGAGAGAGAGAGAGAGAGAGAGAGAGAGAGAGAGAGAGAGAGAGAGAGAGAGAGAGGGAGAGAAGAGAGAGAGAGAGAGAGAGAGAGAGAGGGAGAGGAGACAGAAGAGAGAGAGAGAGAGAGGAGAGATGAGAGAGAGAAGATGAGGACGAGAGGAAGAGATTATTGACGAGAAGGAGAGAGCACGCACGCACCGAGAGAGCGAGACAGGACGTATCAGAGATGCCTGAGACGGAGAGACCGATGAGAGATCGATTGTATGCAGGTAAAATGAAGAGTAGAGAGAGATGACGAGTATGAGAGAGAAGGAGAGACAAGAGATGAGCGAGAACGATGAGAGATGATTAGGCAGGAGCAATGAGAGAAGGAGGAGAGTAAGAGGAAAAAAGAAGAAGAAATGCACTGAAAGAGCAGAGTAGAGAGAGAGGAGGGAAGAGAGAGAAGAGAGAAGAGAGATGAGAGAGAGAAGAGATGAGGTGAGGGAGAAGGGAGGGTGAGAGGAAAAGAACAACCGAGAAGAGAAGAGAGAGACGAGAGAGAGAGATGAGAGAGAAGAGGAGAGAAGCAAGAGAGAGAGAGAGAGAGAGAGAGAGAGAGAGAGAGAAGAGAAGAGAGCCGAGAGAGGAGAGAGGAGAGAAGAGAGAGAGAGAGAGAGATAGATAAGAATAGAGATAGAGAGAGAGAGAGAGAGAAGAAGAGAGAGAGAAGAGAGAGAGGGAAGGGAGAGAGAGAGAAGAGGAGAGAGAGAGTCTCAATCTGATAGAGAAGTCACGTAGAGAGAAGAGACACGAGAGCAACGAACATTCAGGGAGGCGGAACATTTATAGAGGACGTTCGCGCTATTTCCTCACAGCTTGCTCCTTCTCCTCTCCTACGCATCGCTCCACTACGACCGAGCTCCAGCATATGCTTTCCCATCTGAGACAATGAAGGAGAGGCAAATCACCTTGTGAGAGCCTTAAAAGCAAATGATATCAGGGCGATAATGCTAATAACAGATTTCGGTTTTCTACACGAACGATTCCACGAAAGTAGAGGACTTTTATCGTCATCTCTCTCCGCCGCTTCCTTCTTGTTCCAAACCTCTTGCCCCTTTTTTACCCCCCTGCTGTTTACTGGTAAATAAGATGTCTTTCTCAGCGGAGAATGGCAGACCGAGAGGCCCTGATCGTCCGTTGACTGGCACTAAGTTTATGTTTGAAGATTCTGAATTGAGAAGAGGGAGGGCTATAGATGTTAAAATTGTTTATTCTCGAGTTGCAGCACGAGAGCATGCTAAGGTCTACGAGACTGTAGAAGGTCGCCGGAGGTATGGTGGAGAGAGTAGTTGGAGAGGGTAGAGAGAAGATTGAGACGAGATGAATTATGTATGAACGAGAGAGTCAGAGAGAGACGAGAGAGAGTGGGCAGAGAGAGAGAGTAGAGAGAGAGAGAGAAGAGAGAGAGAGTAAGAACGAGAGAGAGAGAGAGAGAGAGTGAGGGTGAGAGGCGAGAGGGAGAGGGAGAGAGAGAGGAGAGAGAGAGAGAGAGAGAGAGTAGACGAGAGAGAGAGATAGAGCAGGAGAGAGAGAGAGAGAGAGAGAGAGGAAAGAGAGAGGGAGAAGAGGAAAGAGAGAGAGAAAAGAAAGAGGCGTGAGCGAGAAAGAAGAGGAGCAGAGACGGAGAGGACGAGCAGTCAGAGAGAGAGAGAGTTACAGGTCTCGTCCTCTCGCTCTCCTCTCGGATCAGGGAGAGGATCTCGTACTGCTCCCGAGTGCAGGAGAGATGAGCGAGAGGAGAGAGAAGAGATTGCATGCAGTATCTCTCGACGATCTCTCGTCTAGCTCTCTCTCTCTCGCTACGAGATCTCTCGTCCTCTCTCTCTCTTTCTCTCAATTTCTGGCTTCTCTCCTCGTCTCTCTCTCTCGTCCATCTCGAAGGGTTCTCATCGTACGAGCTCTCATCTCTCTGATCTGTCTGTCTCATGGCCTTAATCTACTTTTATAGCCGCCTCGTTTCCCGAGATAACAATAATCAGCTTATTCCTTATTTTCTTACCAATCATATCGTAAAACTCTCTCCTCTCTCTCTCTAAAAAAAGGCTTGTTAAACCTGTTTGCTATTTGTAATCATTGTTCCAAGGATAAATATCAGGCTTTTTC